CAAAAATGTAAAATGATGATTTGAAGGACCAAATGGTATCGCAATTGGATAATTTTGGTATGGTTAGACTCACGAGAGTACGAGGATTCTGAAAATGTAAATTTTACCCGATTTCGAGACGTGGGCCCGGGGCTCAGGTTTTGCTAATTTCGAGATTTTTGATATTTTTCGAATGTTTTCGCTTGGGCTTTGTTCCCTTAGCATATTGTGACGTATTCGTTCTGATTTTGGATAGATTCGACGCGTGTGGAGGCCAATTCAAGGGGCAAAGGCGTCGTGAGCTAGAGAATTAGCCAGTTCGAGGTGAGTAATGATTTTAAATGATGTCCTGAGGGTTTGAAACCCCGGATTTGCACAACGTAGTGCTATACTAAGTTGAGATACACGCTGTGTGACGAGCGTGAGGTTCAATGCTATGGGGATTGGGACTTGGTCCATCCCGAATGATATTTTACTACATTTTTGATTGAGACATATACTTTATTGTTGTGAATTGGGCTTGTTGCCATGCTTGGGGCCTTGTGCCGACCTGTAGATACCTTAGGGGATTTTTGACTAGTTTTCCTCACTTACTTTGTTAAAGAATTTATATCCTTAGTCATGTTTCCAATTGTTTAAAAATGATATGAACCAAATTTTTGAAATGTTAATCATAAATAGGAAGAGATATGAGGGCCGAGATCCCGACCGTACATTATGCCCGAGAGGTTGTGATTTTAAATGACTGAGAGGGGTCGAGGACTCACTAGTGAGGATATTTTATATGATATGGATCGGGCTGCGCGCCGCAGCAGATATATATATTATACATATTATGGATCGGGTTGCACGCCGCAGCAACTACTTATATGGATCGGGCTGCACGCCGCAACAATTATATAGCGCTTGGGCTGAAGGAGCCCCTCCGGAGTCTGCACACCCCCAGTGAGCGCAGTCGACTATTATTATTATGGATCGGGTTGTACGCCACAGCGATATGCGGATCGGGCTGCACGCCGCAGCGGTATATATATATATATATTGATTCGGTTATCGTGAGAAGTATATGAATTGACAACTGAGGATAAGAACGAATAAATGATCTGAACTGCTTGAGGAGCTGATTTATACTGATTATATCTGTTTTACCTGGTTTAAAGAATTTCACATGATTTCCTTATCCACAGAGGTTTAAATGATTTTACTGTTTTGATATAGAACTGCTTAGTGCCTTTACGTGATTTCATACTGTCAGCCATTATTTATTGTTATTATTCACTGAGTCGGAGTACTCACATTACTCCATGCACCATGTGTGCAGATTCAGGTATAGCAGAGTTCGCACCTGAGCGATGATTCCTTCCAGGCTAGGCAGTGATTTGGAGTTACGAGGTAGTTGTTGACGTCCGCAGCCCCTTGTCTCTCTTATCCTCTATCATTTATGTTTTCTTCAGATTGTTGTATCGGATTCCGTACTTTGTAGACCTATAGCAGATTCTGTAGTAACTCATGACTTGTGACACCCCAGTTTGGGCTGTGTCGGGATAGTTCCTGCTGTTATTATCGTTAAATTCCGCAATTTATGAGCATTATATTATATGCTACCACTGTTTATGATGGTTAACTGTTTAAAAGAGGTGTTCTGTTTTGGTCTGGCTGGCCTTGTCTTCACGAGAGGCGCCATCACGACCGGGTTCGGGGATTTGGGTCGTGACATTGGTCTTGTATTTATTCCAGTTCACAGATCACGATCAGCCTTTGAGCTTTAAATGAAGTACTAACATTCAAGTAAGCCTGAGCCAATTAGCTAGTTCATCTTATACATGAAATTAGAGTTAATTAACAAGTCCATGTATTTTGCTCAAATATTTGATCTTGCTTCGAGTTAGCATCCTTGAATTTTAACATATAAAATCAAATTTCATAACAAGTTTTTTCAACAAATTTTAGATAACTACAATGATTCTCAAAAAAAAAACGCTACCCAATTTGAGAAACCTAGAAATCCTCCGGGCTTAATTTCAACCCAACACCTCTCTTAACACTTTTTTTGTTTTCTTTTTATGATAAGGACGTTTTTCATATCATTATATGCATAGTTAAATGATTTTTTGTTACAAAAGAAATAAAGATGACTTTACTGGATAATTTCGAATAATTGAGTGACCATATCAATAATAATTCGGTTATACAGGTACATGAATTTCCCACTAGATCTTTGTAGCTGGGTATTTTCAATACATACATGGGCAGACTATAACATCACTGTCGTCGTCACCCTTTTCTCTATCATTGTCACCAGCGAGTTCAACCAGATTTGAATAGAAGTATAGCTTTTGAATCCAAATAGAAGTATACAAAGTGGTTCGTCTCATGAGTCACATAAGAACCTACGTGGGAAGAGGCAAAACACAAAAATGCCATGAGTTGTTGATGCATAATAAGTCTGTGGATCAAAGCAGTCAATCTTTCGTTTAAAACGAACAAATTATTCAAAAAAGCATCATAATGCAGACAAGACTTCCCATCCTCACCAAACTCTACAATCTGTTGGTATACGGAGGAAGAAAAAAGGAATAAAAACAAATGACCAACACAGCAGAATTGGTTCTCATCCGAATTGGGAATGACTTTAGCAGCCTTCATCACAGTTAAATTGAGCGACCATTTTCTTTGCTACACGTACCATCTATAATCCTCAACCAAGGCAAACAACCAACAAAACTGAAATTGATAATGGGGCAAACAAAATCTTGGCTATGCAGAAGTTCAGCAGAGCACAATTTGAGATTAGCAACCAAGATATTGTGGAAAACTAATTCCATCAACATCAAACTCAGGCAAAGGACAGCTATTCCAAATTACGAACTCCCCTAATATTTCACCGCACGAGGACAAATACTCTACCAGAGCCGAAGACGCTAAAATTATATTCACAAACCTCTTACACCTAAAGCAAAATGACAAATGTAGCCTCAAGCATGATATGTTAGAGGCATCAAGTAATTTCTTTTGATGTACACTTCAGACAAAATTCATGGTCAAACCAATTAATCTCTAAGAAACTTTTACCAAAGCAAAGAAATAAAAATACAATACTCTGGCACTGCAAATATTCCACCTCTAGTTTTATGGCGCTAGAGAAAGGAAAAAGAAAAGGATACTAGGGGAGCAACAAAAGAATTTAGTGACAGTAAAATATAACCATATTAAATTGTGTACTATATAACTCAGGCAAAGATATCTGAAAAGGTTTAACAATTTCCTGTCTGAACAAGAGAAAGTAAAAGTCCTACGTGGTTTCAAGAAGCACCAGATGAGATACGTCCACCAGATGAGATAATACTATCTACAGATGTTAACAGAGCTTCAGCTGTGAAAAGACCATTCAAGCTAAGTAATTGAAAAATCTATAGGTCTGCGTGAATCAATTTAATAAGTATCGACACTGGTGATCAAGTTTTCTGCTACCTTTCTACACAATATTAGCTAGTCTTTAGACATAAATTTGGTTGAAACTTAAAAAACGAGTTTTTGAAGTTATGTTGGAAAATAATTTTTGGAAGTTGAAGTTGTGTTTGGACATGCATTTTATTTGAAAAAAACTTGTTTTGTGAGTGCAAGAAAAAATTTCACCCAAAGACTACCTAAACTAGATTTTGGGAAATTGAAAAAAAACATCAAATGTTTTTCAAAAACTGATCATATTCTATGAACAAACAATGTTTTCAAAAAAAAATTAAAAAAAAGTTGCCAAAATCTGTGGTTAAACGAGAGCTTAGTTACTGTAGTCCTTTGTTACTTTTCTACACATATTACTTTTGTATTTTGTACTTATTTTTTTATTGTGGGTGGGGGTGGGGATAAAGCCCATTTATCATGGCGCCTCTAGGTTAATTTTCTCTTTTGAGTTCCAATGTATAGTCCAGGGGTGGGGATAAAATCCACTTTATCATGGTGCTTCTAGGCTAATTTTGCCTTTAAGTTCAAACATATACTCCAAAATTCTTCAAATTATCAAATGTAGTAGATGAGGTTGGCGTCCTCTAGCTTTTGGCTGAACGTCAGTCGCTACTTTCGAACTGCTGTTAAACCGAAACTAGCTATTGCAACTAGCGTCAGCCTTCAAATTATTTGACACCAAGGGTAAGTGGTCAGTATAGCTGTGTTCTTAACCGAAACTGGCTATTGCAACTAGCGTCAGCCTTCAAATTATTTGATACCAAGGGTAAGTGGTCAGTATAGCTGTGTTCTTAACCGAAACTGGCTATTGCAACTAGCGTCAGCCTTCAAATTATTTGATACCAAGGGTAAGTGGTCAGTATAGCTGTATTAAAGAACAGTATAATCTCCATTGCGAACCAAGAAGGAAAACCTTTTCTTTCTATAGGTACCCAAAAATGTGATAATTCTATTACACTGCTCTGAACAAGTACCACAAGTTACACAATGAAAAGTACAGATGCTTCACTAAAGTAACGGAAAGAAGCTTAAGTATAGTTTGACAACTGAAGCCTTAGCACTTACAAAGAATGAATACCCTGTCAAACTATTACAGGATTCGTCCTACGTAAAGATAAATAAAGGACTATTGTTAGTAGCAAACTGCTGATTCTCTGATAGATTTGATGTATTACACTTCTACTCTCAAATGGATCACTAAAACAGGGAGTTCTCCTTAAGTCATGATCAACCTCTAACCTATTTCTTTTAATCTAGACGTGATCAACTTCTAACCCACTTCATCACTCATTGATTTTCTTCACAAGCACAGGAAAGTCATGTGTGACCACTTAGGCATAACAAATGATACTCTATGCATAATCCATTTATTCGCATCTCACAGGACCGGAGGTAATCACAAAAACCATTCATCACCTAAAAGACTAGACTAACACAAAGTAGAATTTCATAGCGAGAAACTTATGATTCATCTTTATAAATGACAATGCTGGCATTAGCATATAATAATTTTACCTACCAGATTATGACATTTAGGAGAAAGAGTTATAAAACAGACGAAAGAAAAATAAGTAAATTAACGTGGGACATCTGAAGAATTAAGTTTGCGATAACACCAAAAATGTAAAACTGTGTGCATGCATAAGCACAATATCTCTCAGCGATTGTGTATTAATAGAGAAAACATTGCCTTATTTACTACCACAATTTCTAATCTCACACAAACATGACAAATGGGTAAACATGCCACCAAGCTGAGAGTTTGGCCGCTCATGTGGGCGCATGACAACAATCTTAGCAATGAAAGTTTCACCATCCTACATGTGAACACAAGAGGAATCTCTGATGTCATCAATTGCGGTTTAATAACTGGGTGTATGTGTTTGTCAAGAAAACAAGCACATAACAAGGTAGACAATGTTGTAGAAACCCTAACAAGATTGAAGGACATGTTGATACCTTTAAGATCCTAAAGGATACCAAAGGTTCTTTTACCATAATGGGGCCGGCTAAGCCAGATGCTGGCCAACCAATAAATTATCTTTTGAGAAGTGTTAGAAATGATGATATCCATTACCCTTTGACCCGTTGTTAGAAAAAAGGGTCATTCTCACCAAGTTTTGTGATTACTGATATTTTGTTGCAGGAAAAACCAAAAGTGTAATGAGATTGTGTTCGAACACGATCTGCCAAATTATGTTACAAGTAGTTGCATAATTCTAATTAAGTAGTTACCGAACCACCTAATACTATTGAACCTAGATATATTCTACCAAGAGTGGTGAAAACCTCAACACAGAAATTTTAACCAAACCCCCTTCCCAGGTAAGCTTTTCCTTTGACCTTCAAAGATCAAAAAGTTAGACGAAAATAAGATCCTTTGACAAGTCATTTAAAATGCACAAATACTAATCCACCCTGACATTCAAGACAAAGCCTGAAGGAAGGCCAGATCCGCACATTTCCAACATATATTGCATGTCATTGCAATAGGCCGCAAGAAGAAAACAATTTAACATTAGCTTTGTTACCATGTTACCTTCCAAGCATAAACTTCTAATTAGATAAACGGAAATTTGATTTCTTGTAGAAATGTTTATCAATATAACCAATGCAGCACCTATGAACTTGAAAAAGGAAAAAACAAGCTGGAAGATAAGAAGAGCCAAGCATGTTTACCGAAGTTTTTTCCGACAATGCAATGCCAAGAAGGGCCATACTTCTTGTCGAACTCCTTCTTAATCTGTTCTGCTACATCCTTCTCAACATTACACTTCTCAAGTGCCTAAAATATACACAGAGACAAAATGTATAAACATTCAGAAGTTGTATAGTCATGTCATATTCTGATCAGCGTAGACACTTAAAATTCTGGACTCTTCCTGACAATCAAGCAGAGAGTCCGGAACCAAAGTGAATTTTTTTTTTTGGATTCAAAGCACAAAAATAGGTGAAAAAAACAACCTTTGACCATTTTATCTATAGCGCATGGATTGCATGCGCTATACCTTAACGGCACATTTGTCCGTTAAGGCATAACGCATGCAATCCATGCGCTATACCTGATTTTCAAATGTCTGTCAAAGTACAGGTATAGCGCAAATATTAGATGCGCTATACCTAAAGTTGAAAAGACAGATAGGTATAGCGCATCTAATATATGCGATATACCTGTATTAAAAAACGGTCAATCCTTCTTCGCGACAGACCCCCATCTAATATATTGGTATGCCGTGTAAAACATAAAAGTTAACAAACAAATCGTTACTAATGAAATAAATTGAATATTATTTAGTATTTTTTTATATGAATAATTATTAAATATATCGTGATTAGTTATGAAATTAAATTTTCTTATAACCCAAAAATATCTGAAAAAAGATGACACATCAAATAAAACCCTGCCGAATTATAATCAAAAAATGTAAGAAAATAACATATCAAATATATCAACCTAAGTAATAATATAGAAAATTTATCGATTAAATATTAATATAAAAATATCACAATATATTGAAAGATGTTAAACGATTAAAGAAAAAAATACGTTAATTAATATTATTCAATTTACAGACATCGTCATAGAGCTTCCCCCTATGCATCGTGGACCTGCTGTTCGAGAGCTACTGTTGCTCCAGGTGGCCATAGGTCTTCACACATCTGGGATGGATAGTTGTCACAGACCTTCCACCCAGACGTATAGACGATATTTGAGAGTTCATTAGGGATCACCCACTTCATCCCCGTATAGTTACACGCCTTGAGCAGACGGAACGGCTATGATAGAGCGGTGGCAACCGGAAACGCACACATTTCATCTACTTATCGGCGAGACTACCATCACGCTACAGGACATGGAGGTTCTATTCGGGTTGCCCGTTGATGGTATGGTTGTCATCTAACCGCAGGCTCTTAGGGACTATACGAGAGAGGACTATCTACATATGTTGTAGAGGCTCACAGGTTTCCAGCCTACAGAACCAATTGCTTTGAGTGGTGCCAGTCGATAGCATTTGTCGCCCGTTAGGCAACATCAGGTGGCGCTGCACGCGGAGATTACTGATTACTCACCGGCAGAGGCTATCGAGCGACAGACGAAGCTATTGCTCTTGATGATGTTTGGTGGTATTCTGTTCCCGAACACTTCAGGAAACCTAGTTAGCTTGCGATTTCTGCATCATCTGGAGCGGCAAGATGAGTTACCTACTTACAGTTGGGGTGGAGCAGTTCTAGGCTACCTTTATAGGCAGTTGTGTCGGTCGTCCATGAGCACCGTAAGAGACGTCGCCGGTTTTATTCTGCTGCTGTAGGTGATAACATTATCAATTCTTTTTATGATTATAACATAGATAGTACAAAATCACTTAAATTTTACGTCCACAATCAATATTAGTTTTGGGCCTGGGAGCGGTTCGTGCCACCTCTCCCACCGATAGCTCCAGATGCACCACCTCCACCGTTTCTACCACGTGCTAGGAGGTGGGTAGATAGGCGAGGTCGCCCCCGCGAGGTCGAGGCTCGACATCATCTCCCTTATTACAGAGATCTATTGGATTTACTTGAAGACGCTCAGGTAAATATATGACAGTTTGTTTGATAATGCTTAATCTGTCTTGCGTTTACTCACGATTCTTTTGTTTTTAATAAATAGTTCATAGGGAGGCCATACAGTGATGAGCTCATCACTGGATTGCCAGACTATTGCTCGCACGATCGAGCTATGTGGATGTCTTCAGTCCCACTTATATGTCTCGATATAGTCGAGCATTATGCCACCGAGAGACATCAAGACATATATTTTTGGGTGGCATGATGCTCGACTATATCGAGACATATAAGTGGGACTGAAGACATCCACATAGCTCCACCGCGGGGGCAATAGTCTAGCAATCTAGCGATGAGCCCGTCGCTATATGGCCTCCATATGAACTATTTATTAATCAAAAGAATCGATAGTAAATGCAAGACAGATCAAGCATTACCAAACAAACTTAGTCATACATTTACCTGAGCGTCTTCAAGTAAATCCAACAGATCCCTGTAATAAGGGAGATGATGTTGAGCCTTGACCTCACGGACGCGCCCTCACCTATCTACCCACCTCCTAGCAAGTGGTAGAGACGGTAGAGGTGGTAAATCTGGAGCTATCGGTGGGAGAGGTGGCTGGATCTGCACAAACCACTCCCAGGCCCAAACTTAATATTGATTGGGGACGTAAAATTTAAGTCATTTTGTATTATCTCTGTTATAATCATAAAAAGAATTGATAATGTTATCACCGGCAGCAGCGGAATAAAACCGGCGACGTCTCTCAAGGTGCCCATGGACGACCAGCACAGCTGCCTATAAAGGTAGGCTAGAACAGCTCCACCCCAGATGTAAGCAGGTAACTCATCTAGCCATTCCAGATGATGAAGAAATCGCAAGCTAACTACGTTTCTCGAAGTGTTCGGGGAATAGAATATCACCAAACATCAGCAGCAACAACAACCTTGTCTGCCGCTTGATAGACTCTGTCGGGTGAGTCATCGTAATCTCCGCGTGCAGCGACACCAGATGCTGCCTAACGGGCGACAGCTGCAATCAACTGGCACCACTCAAAGCAGTCGGCTCCGCAGGCTGGAAACTTGTGAGCCTCTGCAACATATGTAGATAATCCTCTCTCGTATAGTCTCTAAGGACCTGCGGGTAGCTGACAGCCATACCATCAACAAGCAACTCGAATAGAACCTCCACGTCCTCTAGCATGATAGTAGCCTCGTCGATAGGTAGATAAAATGTGTGTGTCTCCGGTCGCCACCATCTATCATAGCCATGATCATAGACCAGTCGAAATGCAATCGGCCGATCTCTATAATCCGGTAAAAACCCCTCCACTCAAGGCGTGTAACTGTACGGGGATGAAGTGGTGGTCCCTAGTGAACCCCCAAAGATCGTCTACACGTATGGGGTGGAAGGTCTGGGACACCAATTGTCCATCTCATATGTGTAAAGATCTATGGCCACCCTGGAGCAACTGTAGCTCTCGAATAGCAGGTCCAAGATGCACATGGAAAAGTTCCATGACAATGTCTGTAAATTGAATAATATCAATTAAAGTATTTTTCTCTTTAATCGTTTAACATCTTCAAATATATTGCGATAGTTTTTATATTAATATTTAATCGATAAATTTTCTATATTATTACTTAAGCTGATAAATTTTCTATATTAATATTTTATATGTTAGTTTCTTATATTTTTTGACTAAAATTCGGCTGGGTTTTATTTTAACTGTCATCTTTTTTTCAAATACTTTTGGGCTATAAGAGAATTAAATATTTAATTTTCATAACTAATTACGATATATTTAATAATTATTCATATAAAAAATACTAAAAACTTAATTCTAAATAATATTCAACTTATTTCATTCATAATGATTTGTTTGTTAACTTTTATATTTTACACAAAAATCCGGCATAGCGCATATATTAGATGGGGTTCTGTCGCAAAGAAGGACTGGCCGTTTTTTAATACAGGTATAGCGCATATATTAGATGCGCTATACCTATCTGTCTTTTCAACTTCAGGTATAGCGCAAATATTAGATGCGCTATACCTATATAGCGCATCTAATATTTGTGCTATACCTCAAAAGACAAATGTGCCGTTAAGGTATAGCGCATGCAATCCATACGCTATAAATAAAATGGTCACAGGTTATTTTTTTCACCTATTTTTGTGTTTTGAGTCCAAAATAACCACAAGCAAAGATCCATCTCACTTTTTGTCTGAGAAATACACTTTTTGTCTCTTGAATCAAAGATAATAACTTAGAAAATAAATAGAGAAACATTCAATATTGGACTCAAAAATTTATTACGTAATTAAAGAGTTTAAATTCTACGCATTGACGGTGTAAAAGATATTGTATTTACACAATAAGGTCTTTATTAGGTAATTAGAGATGAATCTCTTGGTAAGTATTATAATAGGTAATCTGGTAAAAATGATATCGGACCAATATCACGGGTTAAAATATTTTTTACAGTATCAGTGTATATAACTTAAATCCTTAATTAAATTGTTTTACTCAAACAAAAGATCCTTTGTTCAGGAAATATACTCATTTGGCCTCTAATTAAAGAAAATAACTTAGACGCTATAATCACGAGATGTTCAAAGTCTACTCACACTTTATAAATTAAATAATTTAAACGATTTAAAGTCATATGCACAGACATTTTAACATGTGAAAGCTGGTCAGTTACCATATTTATCAGTACCAATTAATTTGTATCAAGAGATTTCCCCAGTAATTGCCAAATGACCTAATTGTGTACAAACTTTAATGACCTGATTGTGTAAATATTTTTTGCACCGGCAGTGAGTAGAACTGAAATTTATTCACGATTTCAGTTACTAGTAATTATTTTCTCACTCCGAAAATTTGTTCGTGAATAATTAACAAATTCGTGTGTGTATGTGTGTGTGAGAGAGAGAGAGAGAGTATATACAGCAATAGCAATGTCGACAGCCTCATTTTGGAGGTCAGGTTTCATATCGGCACTTTTTATGATTACTGTCTTCTTCCCAACAGTAGTAGAAGTAGCTGAACTCGAAGAGGATTTGCGATCATCGGAGGAGGCTGATAACGACTTGCGATCGTCCGACGAAGACTTCACCACCACAGCTCCGGCTCCGATACCATTTCTCTTCGTGTCTTCGCTCATTTCTTCTTCTTTTCTTCTTCTCTTTCCGTTTTGAAGTTGAAGGCTGACACGCCGGGGCCGGTGCAAAAAAGTGCAAGAAAGAGAGTTTGCGTTTGTGTGCGCGCGCGTGAGAGAGAGATGGTCTTTCTGATTTGTTTGCCGCTTCGGAATGGATTCGGGTGTAATTGAGTATAATTACATTTTGGCATGTTTGTTTATTTAGTCATGGAATTAAGTGTAATTGGAGGGTGTAATTACATTCGTGTAATTGGAGGGTGTAATTACATTCGTGTAATTGGAGGGTGTAATTACATTCTTTAATTCTGAGGGGTGAGAATTAGTTATAATTTCACTGTATAATTACAAGGTTGTCTTTTAGTTTCTTTCCTTTTTGTTTTATTTTAATTTATTCTCTTTATAACTTTTTATTTCTATTATTTTAATTTTTAACTTTATTTTACTTTTAATTTCTTTTAAAATTTTAAAATATATTTTTCTTTATACATTATTTATCTTTTGTTTCTCTATCTTTGCTTCTTGTGATTACATGTAATTACTTATATTTTATTTTTTATTTTTTATTTTTTGAAACTACACCTCCTAATATTAAAAATATTAATGAGTCATTAACAAACTTGGCATATAATGAGTGATGAAATTAAAGTGGAATTTTATTGTTGAATGTGGTTATAAACTTGTCATGTTTCCTAATCTTAAGTTGCAGCGGAACTTACTATATTATGTCGGAATTTGACATATATGTTAAACTATTTTATTTATTTTTTGAATTTTGAAATTGTGTTATATTCATGGTTCTAATTTACTTGTTTTAGTAGTATTGGCTCACATTGCATGTTGTTCATTTTTTAGTTAGAATTAATAGATGAGTTTTGTGAAATATTTGACTAATGCTATGACATATATTTATAAATTAATTTATTTTATCAAACATGAATTTCATGATGAACAAATAAAACGTATATTTTTAATTTTTGTAACTATCTAAACTAAATATTATTAATTTAAAAATATATATATAAATTATTTTTACAATATTAGTTATAAATATATGATTACTAAATTAATGTATATTCACGAAAAAATATACATCTTAAATACCAAATATAATATTATTTATACTTATAAAAATTTATAGGCATATATTTATTATATTAACTTTTAAGTTTTGATAATTACTTAATTTAAAATTTAATTTAACTATGTAATTACACTTGTGCAACCAAACAGTAAACATATAATTACACTGTAATAACACTATGACAAACAAACAGGTCGTCGTAATTACACAACTGTGTAATTACTACCCTTGTAATTACACCAATTCCAATTACAGGGTGGCTTTCCAAACAGACTCTAAAGAAAATGTTTTTACGATTCTAAATTCTGCATATTTTGAAACTTAATTTTCTTTAAAAAAAACTTTGGAAAAATATTTTTAGTGAGAAGTAATTTATATTTAACTAATTAATTTAAACTGTACTTTTGATTAGTAATTAATAGAAAAATTATCAGTTATGCCAGACCATCAGTAAGTTAGTATGAAAATTAACCAATTCATAAAATATTATCAATATTAGCTAATTAGCTATTTGTGGTAAAAAAAAGTCAAATTTTTGAATTTTGTTTTCTTTTGAGTGAGTGTTATTGGAATAGATTGGATATATCTTAAGGAGTTTAAATCCAATTTTTGGATGATTTGGTAGAGTTTTGATATGGTTTGAATTGAAAATTCGAAGTAGAAGATGAACATAGAAAAAAGATGATATGTGTATCACACTCTGTATCATTTGTATATCACATCTATATCATATTTGTATCAAATGTGTATCGTATGGATATCTATGTACACCTGTGTGTGAGATATATGTGCGATACATGTTTGATACATGTGTCGCAAACGAATTTTTTGAACTCGATTTTAACTACGAATTTTGATGCCAAATCAGATCAAATCACCTCTAATCTTCCTAAATATTGTATTTGACTCATTTATATATTTTCAATAAATTTCAACCATATCTGTTGAAAAATAACCATTATTATATATATGTCACACCTCGGATTTTCCACCCTCGGGAGTCGTGATGGCGCATACTACTATGAGCTAGGCAAGCCAATTACGTGAACAATTTGTCTTTTTACCCATTTTATATCCATTAACAATTTCGAAGTAATAACATTTAGACAACGAAATTTAACATAAGCGGAAGAAAAACAATAAGCTATCTGAACATGAATATCTAATACAACTGTTTGAGTCTCGACTACCCAGAACTGGTGTCACAGTTTCACATACGATCTAAGAATACTACAAATAAAGAGTCTGAAAGAATTAAATACAACACTGTCTCTAGAAATTCATGAAAGAAATAGGAATAGTAGATAGAAGGAGACGGCAAGGCCTGCGGACGCCTGCAGGACTACCTCGGATCGCCTGATGAGCAAGAATCAGCAATCCCTCTGCGGTCCGAAGTCTACAACACTGGGGTCTACACAAAAGAGTGCAGAGTGTAGTATCAGCACAACCGACCTCATGTGTTGGTAAGTGCCTAGCCTAACCTCGGCGAAGTAGTGACGAGGCTAGGACCAGACTATCAAATAAACGTGTGCAATTTAACTATATATGGCGAGAAAAGAAGTACAAAAAGAAACAGTCATATACAGTCAAGTATGGGAGGGGGCAAACGTGCTGCGGGGAAATATCGAATAGTAACAGAAGGGCAACAAATAAGTATGAGGTTCACCACAGTTCAATTAAAAATAGGAAGGGAAAATCATGTTGCGGGGTACAACAAGTATCAACAGGAAACCAGCAATTTAGTGTAGAGAAACTGTAACACAATTATCAATAAAAATTAGGAAATCAAAGACAAGTGCACGACATTACCCTTCGTGCTTTACTCTCTCTCACCAAAACAATACGCGGCATTACCCTTCGTGTTTTAACACTCTCTCACCAAAACAATACACGGCATCACCCTTCGTGCTTTTACTCTCGTCCTCACCATAAGAATCAATACAATAGGCACGGAATGGTACATCGTGTGGCACGGCATCACCCTTCGTGCTTTACACTCTTTCCTCACCATGAAATCAATATAATAGGCAAGGAATGGTACATCGTGCGGCACGACATCACCCTTCGTGCTTTACACTCTTTCTTCACAAAACAAACAATGCACGGCATCACCCTTCGTGCTTTAACTCTCTTCCTCACCCAAATAACAATCACAAACAATAGGGCAAGAAAATAAAGGAAATTGCAATAAGAATTCCAGCAAGGGAGCAACAAGTCAACAATTAAATCCCGGCAAGGGAACAACATCAACATCCCGGCAAGGGAGATAACAATTAAATCAACAATAGCCCGGCAAGGGTGACAACATAATAATCTCTTCTCTTTTTCATTTTTACTTCACGATTCACTTCACAACTCGAGCCAATGCTCTAGAGGTTCAATTATCACTTATACCTTCACAACTCATTTCACAACTCGAGCCAATGCTCTAAAAGTTCAATTGTCACTTATACTTTCACAATTTGTCATACAACTTGGGCCAACGCTCCTCAATGTTCATAGGTCACAATTCTTTCCACAAACTTTATACAACAAATAAAAACCATCGCCAAGGCATAAAAGATACAACGAAGTCATGATAATCACAATATAAAGACTTACGGGCATGTTAGACACCAACGTATAGATATTTGTCACCATGCCTATACGTCGTACTCAACAATTACTACATAGCAAATAGGACTCAATTCCTAATCTCTCAAGCTAAGGTTAGACCAAACACTTATCTCGAACTTCCACGGCCAACTCAAGCATCAATCACCGCCTTTCCTTTCGAATTCGGCTCCAAATCAATTGTATCTATACATAATCGACTTCATAACATCAATAAATGTTAAACAATCCAATTCCAATGCTTAATGATAGCTTTCTAATCATTCTCCCAAAAAGTCAAAGATTGACCCCGGGTCCACTTGGTCAAAACACAAGGTTCGAACCAAAACCCGATCACCCATTCACTCACGAGCCCGAATATGTAATTTATTTTCAAATCCGACCCCAAAACGAAGTCTAAATCAAATATATCAAAAAGCCCTAACTCTACCCAAATCCCTAATTTTCTACCCTTAATTACATTATTTAAGCCTAGAAATCTAATGGGTGTTAATGGAAATTTAAGAAAATGAGTCTAAGATTACATACCTATGAATTGGTGGTGGAATCCCCTTTCAAAAATCGCCTAATTTGGAGTTGAAATGAAGAAGTTATGAAATTTTGGTGTAATCCCGTAATGGCTACTGATTTGGTCTTTTAAAATAACTGGGCGAATTTACCCATCACGTTCGCGATAGGCTCATCGCATTCGCGATGGGTTAGGTCTGACAGACCTTCGCATTCGCAGGATAAGGCTCGTGTTCACGGAGCTTTGGCTCCTCAAGTTTACGCGTTCGCGGAGCTTTGGCTCCTCAAGCTTACGCGTTCGCGGGCTAGTGGCCGCATTCGCAATGAACAAATTGATGACCCCTCCCCAGGACCTTATGCGTTCGCGAGTGCAGGGACGCGTTCGCGAAGGGTTTCCCCCCTCAGCTTCGCGTTTGCATCTCGAGCTTCGCTTTCGCAAAGAAGAAATTGGGCACCTGAGAGATTTTTCTTAAACGTTCGCGAGTGGGACACGCGAAGGGTAAAATCCCTGGGTACTGAACAACAAAAACCTATAACCTTTCCTAAGTCCAAATCCTTCCGAAACACATCCGAAACACAGCCGAGCCCTCGTGGCTCCTAACCAAACATACGTACTAACTCAACAATATCATACGAACTTATCTGTGTGATCAAATCGCCTAAATAACATCATTAACAACGAATTAAACCTCAAATCAAAGAATTTTCTCAAACTTCTTAAAACATCAATTTTAGTAATTTAGGTCTGAATCACGTCAAATGACATCCGTTTTTCACCAAATTCCACAGAAACATCTTAAATCATATATAAGACCTGTACCGGGCTCCGGAATCAAAATACGGGCCCGATAGCATTATGTTCTAATCAAATTTTATTTCAAGTTCCTTTAAACAATTTCAGAAAATAATTTTCCTTAAAAAATTCATTTCTTGGGCTTGGGACCTCGGAATTCGATTTCGGG